TTATCGTTATCGTTATCGTTATCGTTATCGTTATCGTTATCGTTATCATTATCATTATTATTATTATTATTATTATACAGAAATGAAGACAAGGTCTCGCACTCGGTCAACGGCCAATGTGGTACAATCCTATGTGTAACGAACATGTCGCAAAAATATGCAGCACTTGCGCGTCGCAATATAATTTTTTTTTTATGTGTATTTTTAATAAATAAAGTATCTTTTCATGCATTTTTATTGCATTTATTCAACATTTTTTACATTATTCAACCAATTTCATACAAAAAACATGAATTTTAAAAACCTCTCCATAGTATGCCATATGAAACTTTTTAAAAAATATTTTGTTATTCTTCTACATGTTTATATTTCATGCCCAAGGTCGCAAATTTTACGATAAAAAAAATACGTTTTTTAGAGACAATATTTGATCAATTTTCTTCAAAATCATAAAACTTCACTTTGCAAAAAAAAAATACTTTTTGGAACCAATCGTTATGACACTAATTTCTTCTTAAAGTACAATTCTTGATCTTTCAAATTATATATTATAAAACCCTTGTATCTTTTTTTAGTCAGTACTACGTCAATTTGAAAAAAAACCAAATTTTTTGCTTCTTCAGAAAAACACGTTTTTTTTTAAATAACATTTACATTTTTTAATTTAGAATAATCTAACCTAAACACTACACAGTCTTGTAGATCTTTAAAAGATGTATCGATTAAAAAAAAACGTCAAATTGATGCATTTGTCTTAAAGATACAAGCTGGAGAAGACGCCAGGGTCTTTCAGACCCATGTCACGTAATATCGGGGTCTAGAACTGAGGGTTAATAATCAGCCTATAAATGTTTACGGATAAAGTTAAGACGCAATTACTACAAAAAAGTATGCAAAATTATATTAAGAATAAGATTTACATGAGAGGACATCTTTACTACAGTGCTGTATATCGTGCCTGTTGAGCACGACGCAAATTTTAAGCAATTTAAGTCAATTTCAAACACTTTTTTTATTTAAAAATTATTACACTTTTGACATTTTGATATTAAGATTTTTACCTCGAAATGATCTCAAGAGTGTTAACTATTGTATTGTTAGTTAACTATTGTTACCCAAAGTCTAGGATATTCTGTATGTATGTATGTATGTATGTATGTGTATGTACAGAGTGTTTCAAAATTCGCAAATCAATATATCATAACAAGGAAGTCGACAAAATAAAAGTATAAATTCTTTGTTATGTGCACATATATGTATATACAGGGTGAGTCATTTTAATTTACCCACCCCAAAATTTTTATTTTTGATTGTAGAAAAAAATGCTTCAGATAACAATTATTTGGTTTGAAGAGGGCACATGATTCTTACATGAGTCACATCGTAGATGGCATTGTTTTCAAGAATTTAAAAACCGACTAATTTTTTAAATGGAACTTGATTTTTTTTTAGATAAAAGTTATACATCTTGTCAAGACGTTTTTAAAACACTATAATCAAGCTCTCTTTCGTTAAAAATTTCTTAAGATATTATAAATTTTATTATAATATTTAAAATTTTATATTATAAAAATATAAAATATGAAATATCTCGTATAGTACTTCACTTTTTGATTATTTTACCTTGTACTTTTGTACATAGAATAAAAGAAAGCGAACAATAAAATTAATTTTTACATTTGCAATTTTGCATAATTGAATGCGCTTACAAAATGCAGTCGAATTTTTTAAAATAATTTTTTTTTTTTTTTTTTTTATTATTTTTTGTATAAAAGTATCAAGGTAAAGTCATCGACAAGTGGATTAATACTTAATGAGATATTTCATATTAGATTTTTCGCCCGCGCCTCGCGCGAGCTCAAAATCTATTCCCCTCTCCCCAAACTCACCCTTTTATTAGGAGCACCAAATTTGATATTCTTTCTCCTTAAACTCTAACCTACGTCTTCGAACTCTTTTTTAATAAATAATAAATAATAAGTAATAGATAATATTATAGATGCAAATTAGCATATTGTCAAATCATACCTATAATATAAAACCCGACTGTTTGCCTGTCTGTCTGTCTGTATTTCAAAAATGTGATCCCCTATATTGAAGTCTTTAAATTTTATTTTTGCTCGCACCTCGCGCGTTTTCATCCTCCGCTGACCCGTCATTATTGACTCTTTTTTATTTTCTTTCATTTTATTTTCTTTCTGTTTCTCCTTTTTTCTATTTTGTTTAAAAATTCTACCGGGTTTAATTTTACATTTGCTGCCTTTCTGTTCTAATATCAATTTATTTATTTTTTTTTCGCTCGCGCTTTGCGCGCCTTCACCCTCTAAAAAATTATCCATTAATAAAAAATTAAACTTATCCTCCAAAAATTAAAAACATTTTGACACTGGTTTCAAGAAAATCGGTCCATTAATACTTATTATTGGCATAGAAAACGGAAAAAATAGCACCAGTTTTAAGAAAATACGTTCATTACTGAAAAATTAAACTTGTCGTAGCCATTCCCGAAAAATTAGACAAAATTTAGAACCGGTTTCCAAAAAATCGGTTATTAAAAATTATACACATTTTCGTCATTCCCGAAAAATTAGAAAAAATTGGGCACTGTTTTTAAGAAAATCGGTCCATTAATTGAATGAATAAATCGCAATCAGAAAAATTTTAGCACCTGCAGTTTTCAAAAAATCAGTACACTAATGAAAAATTAAACCCATATAAACAATTGGCCTTCACTACACATCCTTTTTTTTTTTATCATCCTTAGCGAGTGGAATATATATACACACATACAGACTTTTGTGAAAAAGCATAGAAAACTGAAAAAAAATAGCATTGGTTTTAAAAAAATATGTCCATTACTAAAAAATTAAACTCATCGTCGCCATCCCCGAAAAATTAGAAAAGTTTTGGAACCGGTTTCAAAATTTTTCGGGGATGGCGATGATGTGTATAATTTTTCATAACCGATTTTTTGGAAACCGGTCCCAAAATCAGTAACAAAAAATTATCCATAAAAAAATCAGCTTGAACAGATATCTCAAAATTTGCGGAAATTAAAGCAATCACGTACATTTTTTTTAAACAGAAATTGGGAACTTTTTTATTATTAACAATTTTTCGAGACTTCCGGTTCCGGGACAATACAGTGTGGCACGTGAAGGTTAGGCGAGTGAATTGTGGCAGATTAGAAGGGCATAGGAGAGGTCTGGAGGAGAAACTCGGAAGGGAGGAGAAAGTGGAGGAGCGAGAGTTTGCGAGAAAGTGGAGGGAAGTCGGGAAAGGACATAAGGACATAAGGACATATAGAGGAGAAAAAGGGTGCTAAAACCGGGAGTGAAAGTAAGACGGGCTGAGAGTATGTGAAGTGAAGAGAGGGAAGGCATTGTGAGAAGAACGGCCACAGACAGGGAACATGCGGAATATAGAAGGAGAACAGGGTGGTGAAAGAGGCGGGCTAGGGATATTGGAAAGGATAGGAAAAGCTGGTTAACGCATAGTGGACAAGAGCTAGGGGAAAGAGGGCTGCAAAGGTGGCAGATGGAGGCAGAACAGGAAAGAGTGATAGTGAGCAGGCCAACGAAAACGGAGGGGCTAGACATGAGAAGAGGGAGCGCAGGCTCTCTAGTAGCTGGTATACAGAGAAAGAAAAGAGGAGAAATCGAGGAGAAATTAACAGCGAAATTAGAAGAAGATATACTGGAGAAATTTAACGAGCTAAAGAAAATGAACAGACCGCCGCCGGCAAAGATTATAAAAGGTGGAGAAGGGAAAGAGAGCATAACGGCGGAGGAGATGTTGAAAGAAATTCTAAGGAAAATAAAGGAGCAGGAAAAGGAAAGAAAAAAAGATAAAGAGGAGATACAAAATATAACAAAAGGGTTGAAGGAGGAATATAAAAAGAGGGAGGAGGAATGGGGAAAGCAAAGAAACTCGATAGAGAAAGGATTGAAAAGTCTGGAGGAAAAGGTTGAAAAAACGGGCTTGAATGAAAGGGGGGAAAGGAGGGAGAAGTAGTAATGGAGAAATGGAAAAAGATAGAAAAAAATTTGGAAATGGCGGAGAGAAGAAGAAGGAGAAGCAATATAATTGTGAAGAAAGCGACGGGAAGAAACAAAACAGAAAGGAAGAAGATCGAGAAGATGATAGGAGAAATAAATAAAACAGAAGTGGTCATCGAAGAAGTGCAGGAAATAGGATACGGAGATAATAAAATGACAATGCTGAAGTGCAGGAACTGGAAGGCCACAAGGGAAATAATGGGAACGAGGAGGGAGTTAGGGAAAAAATATGACAGCTTTCTGAACGACGACCTCACCAAGATAGAAAGACAGATACAGAAGGAAATAAGAAGGAGAGCAAAAAAAGAAAAAAAAGCAGGAAAGAAAACGACAATTGATTACCAGAAGATGTGGGTGGACAACAAAGAGTTGAGATAGAATAAAAACAAAGGAATTTTAGAGGAGAGGAGTGAATGGCGGAAGAAATAAAGAGGCGAAGAGGGATAGAGAGGGAGAAGACGCGGAGAAGGAGAGGAGAGGAGGGAAACCTGGGGAAAGAAGAAAGTGACAACGAAGGAGAAAGCTACAGAACAGACCAGTATCACCGCAACGTGTGCGACGGACAGACGGCAAAAGCAAGGGATCGAAGGCGGCAGAACAGACCGGTGTCGCCGCAACATGTGCGACGGACAGGTGGCAAGACCGAGAGATCGATGGAAGGGATCGAAGGTAAGAAGGGGAACAGGTAGGAGACGCACGTGGCGACAGTAAGAGCGAGCTGTGTAACGAAGAGTACGATAAAAGAAAGAAAGCAGGATAACGAGGAAAGTGATTGCGAAAAGTTGCAAAGGTAAAGATTGACAATAAGGGTGAAGGGTATGGTGAACTAGAGAAAGAGAAGAATACAGGAGAGCACATAGGTGATAAGCGGAGGAGATAAGCATATAAGATATTTAATAACTTGTTTCAGATACCACAGAAGAAAAAGAAAAGAAAGATGGACGGAAAGACGAAAGTCAGAGGAACGGTAGAGATTGATATGGAGGCGATAGAGATGCTAATGGAGGGACAAACAAGGAGGACGATGAAGAACCTTAAGAAGAAAATAAAAGAGCTGAGAGAAAAAGTGGAGATCTTAAAAAGGAAAATTTATAAAATGGAGCAAGTTTCGGGTAAAAGGAAGAGAGAAGAGAGTGAGAAAAGAGAGGAAAAAGTAGGCAGAAAAAAATGGTGGTACGAAGAGAATGAAGAAGACGAGGAAGAGAAGAAAAGGAAGAACGTGATAATCAATGTTGAGAATAGATGGGGAGGAAACAACGCAAACTGGAAGAAGGTGATGCAATTTTTCACAGAAGGTCTGAGAGTGAAGGTGGAGGTGAAGGAGATGATAATGATAGGACAGAGAGGGGAATGGCTGACATTTATGGTAAAGTTGGGAAGTGAGGAGGATAAATGGAGAATATTGGAAGCAAGAAGAAAGGAGGGAAGCAGGATAAAAGTAAAAATAGACAAAGACAAGTCGGTGGAGGAAAGAATTAAAGAAGGAAAGGAGAGGGAAAAGAGAAAGGAAAGGAGAGAGGAGGAAAATGAGAAAGAAGGGGAGTCGACAGAAGAAGACATTGCGAAGAAATTGGAGGATAAACTTCTGATGGCATCGGAAGATGACGAGGACGAAGCGGACCGAGGGGAGGGACTGGGGAGGAGGCAATGGAAGGGGTAGGGAGTGCAATATATGGCAATGTTCTGTTTAAGATTTTGGAGGCTTAAGATTTATGTTATTTTGTTGTGAGGCCGTCAAGTAATTGTTATTAATTGATTTTAATTTGTACAGAGTTGGGTACGTCCCTTCAAAACGCCGACATGTAAAGGTTTGGGAACGTTCCTCCAAAACGCCCTTTAAGGCCCCTTTGAGGTAAATAATGTATTTTTCGTATCGTATCGTATTAACAATTTTTCTAATTTTATTATATTTTTTAGTTCTTCCTTGTTTCCTTGTTGTTTGGGTGTTCTTTGTTTAAAAGCGTTGATATTTACAACTGCATCGAATAACGTCAAGAGAAAATACCAATCTCCAGGCAATTCAGATTACTATAATTTTTTAAGATTCGGTCAATTAATTCCCGAAAAATTGGAAAAATTTTGGTACCGGTTTTCAAAAAATCGGTAACAAAAAATTATACACTTTATGGCAAACCCTGGAAAACTCTACCCTTGTTTCATATATAATTCTTTAAGATTCGGTCCATTAAGAAATGAGTAATTCGCGGTCAGACAGACAGACGTCATGATGTGTATAATTTTTTATAACCGATTTTTTTGAAACCAGTTTCCAAAAAATCAGTAACATAAAAGTATCCATACAAATTATAAAAAAAATTCAGCTTGATATCTCAAAATTTACGAAAATTGGAGCAATCACGTACATTTTTTAAAATAATAATTGGAAACCTCTTTATTATTAGCAATTTTTTAAATTCTATTACATTCTTTAGTTTTTTCTACCTTAATTTCATAATTCTTTAAGATTTGGTCAATTATTTCCCGAAAAATTGGAAAAATTTTGTAACCGGTTTCCAAAAAGATCGTGTTGGGTGTACGAATTGAACTTGAATCGTTTCCAAAATAACACTATTTATTATAAAATGAAATTACAAGTAATACTCGCGCTGGCTAGATCGACTGTTCATATCGGTATCCAAAAGCGTTCTGGTTTCTTTATTTTTCGTGACAATATCCCGCGCTTTCTCCTTGTTACCAGTCGCGCGTAGCGCCGCCTGCAACTACGCTCACTATATCGGTGTCGCCACCGCTTACTCTATCGCGCCACCGCACCGACCCGAATCTAGGGACGAAATAACGCGTGCCGTTCAAACTAACTAACTCGCTTCCGACATGTCGCCCACCAAATTAGGCACGCTAATTTCTTCATCGTTAATTGAAGATACAGGCAATTTGCACACCTTAGCTATCGCACGCTTGAAATGTCCATTCTCCGTTCGGATCGTGACTACACGCATTAAACCATCGTGACCCGGGTGCAACTTTATAACACGGCCGAGTTTCCATTTCAACGGAAGGAAGTTCTCATCGCAAAGAACTACTAAATCTCCTATCTTGAGGTTTGTCTGCTCCCTCTTCCATTTAGTTCGAACTTGCAGATCAGCGACGTACTCCGTCGCCCACCGTTTCCAGAAATCTTGCTGAACTCGCTGTACTAGTTGCCAACGGTCTAATCTATTGAGTTAAATATCCGTCACGTCTGTATCCGGAAGCCCAGTCATCGTGTCTCCCATTAGAAAATGCGCAGGTGTGAAAGGCTGTAGGTCAGTCGGATCTGACGATAATGGGGATAATGGCCTCGAATTTAAACAGGCCTCGATCTGAATCAATATCGTTGAAAGCTCCTCGAAAATGAATAGAGCGCTTCCCATAATTCGTTTCAAGTGGTGTTTGTAAGCTTTCACCCCTGCTTCCCAAAGTCCGCCCATGTGTGGCAAAGAGGGGGGTATAAACTTCCATTCGATGTTCTCGTTGGACAGCACCTCACCAATCCTTCCTTTAGCTTGAGCCTGAGCGAACTGGTATACTTCCTTCAGCTCTCGATTAGTGCCAACAAAATTCGTTGCGTTATCGCTGTAGAGTTTCTGTAGACGTCCTCTCCTACCAATAAACCGACGGAGTGTCGCTAGAAATGCCGCGGTTGTAAGCTTGCTCGTAGCCTCCAAGTGAATTGCCTTCGTCGCGAAGCAAACAAACAGAGCAATGTAAGATTTGTTCGTCTTCCGTCCTCGACCCTTGTTGACAAGCGTTGTTATGGGGCTGGCGAAATCGACGCCGGTGATTGTGAATGCTCGGCTGGGACGTACTCGACTGCTCGGCAAGGGTCCCATTACTTGGAATATCTTTCGTGGATTGATTCTTGCACAACGCATGCACTCGTGGCAAACTTGCCTCGCCAAATTGCGCCCCCTGAGTGGCCAGTATCGCTCCTTTATAGAAGACAACAAGAGTTGCTGACCAGTGTGTAACAATCGACGATGCTTTCTCTCGAACAATAATTTTGAGAATCGATCTCCGGACGGTAAAATTATAGGATGTCTTCGATTGAACGGCCATGACGAATACTGAAGTCGACCGCCCACCCTGAGAACTCCCTTCTTGTCCAGGAATGGTAGTAACTGTAGAATCTTGCTGCTTGCTCTCAATTTACGATTCTCCCTGATATCCTTGATCTCGTCGGCGAACTTGGTAGCTTGCACGTGCCGAACAAGACCATAATGTGCCATCCGCAACTCGGAAACCGGCAATCTTGACAACTCTCGTTCGCCCGGTTTCTTCTGGGAATTAGATATGTAGCGCAAACAGTATGCCAACACGCGTTCGATCGTAGTTAATGATGAGTATTTGTCAATCAACCCTTAAATTATAGAATCTTTGGTACTAGTCATCGCGCAGACATTTGCACTCTTTTGTTCTTCTACTCGTATTTCTTTAGAGATCTCTGGCGGATCGAAATCTTGAAGACCTCCGCACGTCGCTGACAGATCTTCTCGCAACCACTTCGGACCGGACCACCACAGCTCGGAGTCCCTGAGTTGACGAAGAGTAGCACCTCGTGATATTATATCAGCGGGATTTTCTGTCCCCTTAACGTAGTTCCAATGTTTGGCTGGCAATAACTCGACTATATCATTTACCCTATTTGCCACAAAAGGTTTCCATCGCGTTACGTTACCTCGAATCCACCTAGTATTGCCTTTGAATCCGTCCATGCGTACATCTCGTCGATGGGCACTCTCAGATTCTCTTTAGTGTCAATCATCAAACGCGCCAACAAGCGTGCGCCGCACAGCTCTATTCTGATTATAGTCATTGGCTTAATTGGTGCCACTCGCGACTTGGAGCATAACAATCTAGAAATAATTATACCGTTTTCATCTACGAATTGGACGTATATGCACGCTCCATACGCCCCCTCGGATGCGTCGCAGAATTCTTGTAAATATATTTTTGCTGTCGTTTCACTTGGAATAACTCTTCTCGGGATGCTGAGTGTCTCGGCTGCATTTAGATCTCTTCGAAACTGCTCCCACCTCTCCGCTAACGAATCTGGTAGAGGTTCGTCCCAGTTGCATTTAACTCGCCAAGTATTCTGCATAATAAGTTTCGCTGACGTTAATACAGGTCCTATGAGACCGAGTGGGTCAAACAATTTGCTGATTGCTGACAAGATCTCACGCTTAGTTCTCGCTGATTCCATCTCGTGCACGAAGAATTGGATTTGGTCATTGTTGGGGTTCCATTTGATCCCAAGCATCTTTATCGTGTCGTTAGCGTCGATATTAACATTGTGTGTATCCTCTCTCAAATGTGGAGGCACCTTCTCTAAAGCTTCTGCGCGGCTGGAGCACCATTTGTAGGTTTCAAATCCTCCGGACCGCAATATCTCGACAAGCTGCTCCTGCAACACATGGCTTCCTCGACGCTGTTCGCACCTCCCAAGGTGTTGTCTATGTATGTTTGCTCGAGCAACATAAGCGCTGCCATTGGATACTTGCGCTTGGCCTCCTCTGCTACCTTAAAAGTACAATTTACCGCTAAATAATGTGAACTAGCTTCGCCAAAAGTAACCGTATTTAGGCGATATTCTTGAACCGGTTCGTCTGGAGTGAATCTCTATAATATCCGCTGACAATCTCGATCGTCCGGGTGCATGAGCACTTGTCGGTACATTTGTCGAATATCTACTGTTATCGCGACTGGAAAAAACCGAAATCGACTGACAATTACAATTAAATTACATTGTTTCGTAGGTCCTACTCGGAGAATATCATTGAGCGATTTCCCAGAACTTGTCTTGCTCGTCGCATCAAATACAACGCGGAGTTTTGTACTTGTGCTCTCCTCTTTGATCACGCCATGATGCGGCAAATAAACTACCCGGCGCTCGTAGTCTTGATTCGCTTCGGTTACCAGTGACATATGTCCGGACGCAATATAGTCACGCATAAACTTTACATATCTATCACGCAATATCTCGTCCGCTCTAAATGCATTAAACGTTTGTGCGCTGTCTCTCTAGATTTGCCTAGCGTTTTCGAATCCTCGATAAACGGCAGTCGTACTATAAATCGGCCCTCGGTGCGTGTGGTCATCTTATCAAAAAACTCATCACTCTCTCGAGCTTCCTCCAATTTCAGTGAAGTCGCATTAGAGTCGTAATTCTCGAGTTCCCAAAATCTACTCAGGTTTTGGTTTAATGTTTCGCAATGTTCCAACGAACAAGTTAACGTAGTAATTGTATCGCGATTGCATGTTAGCGACGCGATTGATGTGCGTGGAAATGTCCCGGTAACTATCCATCCAAATCTCGAGTTTTGTACTAGCGGATAATTATTACCGAGCTCTATTTTCCCCGTTTCTAGCCAATCAAAAAAGAACTTTGCTCCGATGAGCATATCAATCGAACCTTGTTTGTGGAACTCTGGATCCGCAAGTTTGATGTTCGACGGAATCTTGAACTCCTTATAATCTACATATATCCACTGACGGTAACATTTTAGTAATTTTCGGCACGATAAAACAGCGGACATTTGCGGTAATGTTAGAATATCTCGACCGTATGATAATCTCGTAACATTGACTCACGACGTTCTCGATCCCGCTTAATCCCGTAATTATCTCCGAAGTTCGGTCGCGTTTCACGCCTAGCCTATTACACGCCGAATGTGTGATAAAGTGCGCCTCGCTTGCGCTATCTAGAAGGATACGTAATGGCACCATGGAGCCAGGAGAGGGCCACGTGGAGGTGTCGCGCCGGTTCGTACCCATATCCGCAGCAGGTCTCCAAGGTAAAGAGCCTCTAGTCGATAGACTAATGTAGGTAAGGGAAGTCGGCAAATTGGATCCGTAACTTCGGAATAAGGATTGGCTCTGAGGAGCAGGGCGTGTCGGATTTGGTCGGGAAGCGGGTTTGGCTGACGTGCCGGGCCTGGGCGAGGTGAACCGATCGGCGTTCTCGCGCCGGTCCCGGGGATCCGAGCTCGGTCCCGTGCCTTGGCCTCCCGCGGATCTTCCTTGCTGCGAGGCTTCCGTGGCGGCGCGAGCCGTCGTGGTCGTCCTCTTCGGCCGCCATTCAACGCTCAGCTCAGAACTGGCATGGACTAGAGGAATCCGACTGTCTAATTAAAACAAAGCCTCGCAGCAAGGAAAATCCGCGGGAGGCCAAGGCACGGGACCGAGCTCGGATCTCCGAGACCGGCGCGAGAACGCCGATCGGTTCACCTCGCTCAGGCCCGGCACGTCAGCCAAACCCGCTTCTCGACCAAGCCCGACACGCCCCGCTCCTCAGAGCCAATCTTTATTCCGAAGTTACGGATCCAATTTGCCGACTTCCCTTACCTACATTAGTCTATCGACTAGAGGCTCTTTACCTTGGAGACCTGCTGCGGATATGGGCCGAGTGGGACCCGTTGGGATGGGTTGCGTTGACCAACATGGTAGCCATAAGCACGTGTTTCTTCGTTGGTCCGTTCATCACGTGGTGCACCGCGACATTGCTGCTCATCTTGTCCTTGTCGTCTGACGCCAGGATCGTCTGCTCGTCCTTGTTCTTCTCGCCTTGAGGAACCTTGTCTACTGCCGGACGATGACACAATGTGTTGTGTCTCCCCGAACACTCCCGGCACGATCCCATCTTGCACGTTCTTACGAAATGATCGTTGCGCAGACAATTGGTGCAGAGTTTCCGACGGCGGATCTCGTTGAGCCGATCGTCGACCGATAACGCTAGAAATTTCTCACAACGATACATGAGGTGATCGCCGTGACACAAGTAACATTTTCCAGCCTTCGTAGTATTGGCCAAAGCTGCCGTGGATTTCTCGTGACCGGGAGCCTTTGTCTTCTGCTTGTCAGATTCGGCCCGTCGTGTAACCTCCTTGTCCTTTGACATTGCTTCGATTCTCTCAAACGTCTGGCATCTTTTCTCCAAAAAATCGGTTAGAGTTGTTAACGTTGCATCAACCGCATTCGCGTTCTGCTCCCAGGCACGTAGAGTTATCGCATCAAGTTTCGACTCAATCATGTGTATCATGAGCTCGCTCCACGCATCTGTCGGCAGATTCAATGACTTCAACACTCGCAGATGTTTCAATGTGTAATCCACCAAGCCTCGAATTGCAGCGGCAGATTCCTTCTCCACCCTCGGCATCTGGAAAAGGCATTGAATATGCTTTTTCTTTATCGCTCTAGGATCGTCGAACCGCCGTTTCAGCAGATCCCATGTGTATCCCATCGTTGGATTGGAAAGTTTCCGCGAAACGCTTCCATTCCTCCGTCTGGCCGTCGAACGTCGGAAGTTTTACTTCCGGTAACTTAACTCGCGATTCCGGATTAGTTGCGACACTCGCGTTTGAGATAGTACGAAGAAACTGCGTTTGTTCCTCGAAAAGTCTTGTGATCGCATCACCGTTGCTAACCGAAGCCTGCGAATCGTCATGTCGTATGCTCATTAGTCTTATGAGCTCGCCTTGTTGCTGTAACACGTTCGATAGCACTTCGTCGCTCGCGGACACACGTGACTCGACTTTCCGCGCGTTCTCGGCGCATAGCCATCGCTTGAGCTTGATCTTTATTTCGAAATACCTTTCCTCGTATTCCGCTTCTTCCGCTGCGTCCCCCTCGGTAGGCTCGCCATCCGTGCTATCGTTGATTTTACGTTGCACATTCTCGAAATCACGGTGAATCTCGTCTAACCTCGCGAGGTATGTCTCGATTTCCTATCGAGTCACTCGATCTTCTTGAACTTGCTCAACCTTGCTCTCGAACCTCGTTAACCTTGATCGTTCCTCGTTGCTTGCGAAGCTTCGTTGTCTCGGCCATGGTTTCTAGAATAAACCTCACTTTCTTGAACGTCGTTTTTTGTGGACTGTATTCACTACCGTTGTCTCGAATCTCGCGATCCGGCTCGAAGGACCAATGTTGGGTGTACGAATTGAACTTAAATCGTTTCCAAAATAACACTATTTATTATAAAATGAAATTACAAGTAATACTCGCGCTGGCTAGATCGACTGTTTGTATCGGTATCCAAAAGCGTTCTGCTCGTTCTGGTTTCTTTACTTTTCGTGACAATATCCCGCGCTTTCTCCTTGTTACCAGACGCGTGTAGCGCCGCCTGCAACTACGCTCACTATATCGGTGTCGCCACCGCTTACTCTATTGCGCCACCGCTTACTCTATCGCGCCCCGCACCGACCCGAATCTAGGGACGAAATAGCGCGCG